TAGCGCAGTTTTTTGCCCATGCGTGTAGCGTTAGCACAGAAAATGAGAAAAGCGCTAACGCTACGCTAAATTGTAGCGGTTTTTTGCTACACTACGCTAATCGGGTCCCAAGATGTAATTTAACGAATCAACATGACCCACCACAGCCGCTAAATGTGTCTAAAATCTACGGCTGTTGCTAAATTTCTTGCTTGAGTCCCTACATCTAGGGACTCCTAGCGACTCTCCATCCTCAGCAAAATACACTGTCACGTGCTGGCAACACTGTGATACTCCCTCCATCCAATCAGTCAAAAACCCCTGATATACACACCGTATCTATATATCATATACAGCCATGAAAACCCCAGTTGATATTGTTCTTGACCCTGCACTCCAAGGCATCATGCCAAACACCAACAAAGGTAAAGATTCTCTTTAATCAGTACCCATCAAGAGTTCTTTCACTGTCATTGATCCCTTCATTTTCTTTTTCATTCTCATCAGACATAATTGAAGCTCCTCCCGCTCTGCCAAAACCGTCTAGAAAAAGAAACATATCAACAGGAAATGGTCAGTAAGACATCTAGACTGTTTTTGGACCTTTCACTAATGCAGATATTTTTTTTCAGATCCATCTTTGCCCAGGATTTCAAATCCAAAGAATCCTAAACAGATAGCCGCAAATCCAAAACCCAAAAAGAAAGCAGTTGCAAAAAAAACTCTGGAACCTGTGAAACGAACTACAACAGATATTGAAAACAATGAGCAACAACCAGCGGTTGGTGAAGAAATCCGTGGTGATGGTGGAGAAGTGAGCAATTCTGAAGATGAAGAATCTGAAAAGAAAACGCGTGCTCCCAACTATCTTGAGCACGAGGATCTGCAGCTCTGTACCTCGTGGCTTGAAACAACTGAAGATGGACAAAAAGGAACCAATCAAACAGGGGCTGCCTTCTAGGAAACGGTCAAAAACCACTATCAATCTAAAATTCCTGAACCAAGATGACCAATCAAAAGCATCAAAGGTCGTTGGAGCCTCATCCAGCTTGCACTCAACAAGTTTCATGGTTGTGTCAACCAAATCAACCACCGGAATCCAAGCGGTAAGACAGCAACTAACCGCATCAGCATGGCCCTCACGTTGTACTCTAAGCTTCACGAGAAACCATTTGGGTACATGTGCTGCTATGATCTGCTCTCAAAAGCTCCGAAGTGGCAAGATTACAACACTGCAATGTCCAAGAAATTGGCAAATGCAAACCCCTCAAGTCCTTTGCCTTCTTCTTTTCCCAACTCAACCCCTGCTGAGACTGTTCATTCAACTTCCAATGCCTCTGGTGATGAGACTGCACGTGGGGAACCGACTTGTCCGATGGGTCAAAAGAAGGCAAAGTTAGCTTATCAAGAGGAGAAACTAGATGCATCCAGCCACAAACACCTCAAGAAGATGGCCACTGCTCACATTGACATTGCCGAGGTTGCAAAAAAGCAATAAACCTCACTAGAAAAGGCAATGCATGCTCAGCACTCTGCCCTTGATTGCCTTGCGGATGAGGCAGTCATGAATAAAGACTGTTGTAACATGGCTGTTACATGACTCTGACTTGCCGCAGCACGGCACCTGAGAGGACTCGGGAGATACCTCCGAGGGGGACTCTGAGTCTATTCTGCACGGAACTACACACTTTCACAGTCTGAGTTCCAATAGGTTATGAGCCCTTAAAGGACTCTCGCTTATAAGATCATTTTACTTTTCGAAAACTCTCACAATCCACGATTCGACCCGCGGATTCCGGCGTTTTTTTTTCTACTCGGCACCGGTCAACTTAGCTTCGTCACTAAGTTGTGGAGTTTTTTTTCCATCACTCTCCCTTTCAAACCAACTCAAGTTTTGACCCTTGTCAATAGGATTCGGGAAATCTTTGGAGTAGGTATACTGATTAAGCTAAATAGATTAGCCACCTATTTATTACGGTTCAGTGGCCCTGAACCGGTGCAGAAAAGTTACAGACTTTATTGATCTACCCTCTCAATCCATCCTCGACTCGACTTGAAATTCCATCACGGCGAACCGGTGAAAAACAGTTGCACGGGTTTCTTTTCTTCTTGTTTGGATCCTCATCTTATCAATCTTTCCCCCTTTTCTCTCCGACTTCTTTTCCCTCAAACTTTTCCTTTCTTCTCTTTTCTATATCCCCATTCCCCTTGATTTTTTTTTCTCTCTCTGCAACACCCTCCTCCCATTCTACAACTTTTCTTTTCGTATCATATATTTCCTTATTAACGACATGTCTCGGCCCGAAAATGAACGCAACGTCTGGTCTAGATCGTCGTCGGTTAGTGTCGCATCGACAAATGGATCGGAATCATATTTAGATCCGGCGGACGGATCCAGAAGGATGGGGGCCATTTTTGATGCCGTTATGGACGGGAGCGACGAGACCCAGCTGGCGGACACTACCATAAAAAAACCAAACAAGGGCAAACAGCCGCTCGATGGTCGTCACGCTGGGACGCACGAAGAACACCGTCCCGCTCAATCTAGCTCGAATCAACTCCCTCAAACGTCTGGAGGTTATCATCATTCACAATACCACCGACACCACGCGCCTCATCAAGTCCCTCGATCTACCGCAGAAAAGGAGTATCAGGAATTCCAAGAGGCGAAAGTTCGCCTAGAGCAAGCGAAATTGATTAGTCAAACGGTTTCGAACATCAACCAACGTTGGAAACCTGAAAACATCCTATGCGCGGATGGATCGAACTTTGCCTTGTGGACCCGCGAACTCCGAGAGACGGGAGTGTCGCATCTATCCGATGCGAACTTTTTCTTCAGTCCGTGCGACAACTCGACATTTGAGAAGATCGGTCGCCTCGTTATCTTTGCGAGTGTCCACCAGGATCTTGTCCCGGACATCCAGCCTCTAGGGAAAACCGTCGACATCTATGAATACCTGAAGAAAAAGTTCACGTCTAACTCTCGCGCAGCACAGATGAACATCTGGCGAAGACTGAACAGTTTGACCATCAAGCATTCTGAACCGTCGACCGGCCTGGTTGCACAGGTGCGAGATCTGTACACCGAGCTCAAAAGCCTCAACGGTCGTCTCTGCTCGGATGTAGTGTTCGGTTTTCTGTTCCAAACAGCCGTAATGCAATCAGCGGCGCCTTTCAAGAAGGAGTTTGAGCAACGAGTCGAAAACGCCATTCAGAATGATGCAACAAAGTCTTTTCCGAAATTTGAGGCTATTGTGCATAACTATAACATATGCCAAAAGCAGTGGATCGAGTACTCATCGCAACCCTCAGCTGCATTAGGACCCCAAATGCCGTCGGTCATGGAGGCGGCGACGGACCCAGATGACTTTGATTTTGACGCGTTCCTAGCCGATGTTCCGGAAGACACCTGGACGGAGGCTCTGGAGTTCTACGCAGAGACGGCAATCAAGTGCTGGCAGTGCAAATCACCGGGACATTACGCTCGAGATTGCCCACAACGCGCTGGAGACCATCAAGCAGCAAAGAGGCGAGGTGGATCATTTGGTCCTCAGCACCAGGCAAATTCCCACCGGCAACAGCGGTGGGCCGCTACGCTACACTACGCTACGGGCCCATGTAGCGTTAGCGTAGCGGCGCCATTTTTTTTTTTTTGTGTAGTGTTAGCGCACCACTACGGCCGCTGCGCTACGCTAACTTGTAGCGGCGCTAACACTAGCCATTTTTTGGTGTAGTGTTAGCGCCTCGCTGGCGCCGCTACGCTGCGTTACGCTACGCTACAGCGTTTTTAGCGGCAAAAAACGCCAAAAAACCGCTAAAAACTGCTGTAGCGCAGCGTAGCGGGCGGTTTCTGCGCCCTTGTGCGCGTAGCGTTAGCGCAGATGGGGAGAATTGCGCTAACACTACGCTAAACGTTAGCGCATTGTTTTGCCCCGTGCGCGTAGCGTTAGCGCTGAAAATGAAAAAAGCGCTAACGCTACGCTACATTGTAGCGATTTTTCGCTACACTACGCTACGCTAACGCTACAGTTAGCGTAGCTGGCCCACCGTTGCCGGCAACTAGCAACTTTCGTTGGCTCACTCTACACTCAACCGGCAAGTCAATCAACACCCGGCCGTTCTCCAAATGCCCCCCCTCTCACTTTCAAACTCAAGCAAAGTGTCTAGCCGACTTCTACCGACCTCGGTATCAACAACAACCTTCTCATCAACAGCAAGGTTCTTCTCAACAACAACAATCACAAAAAGGGGGGGCGTCGGCTTAGGTGATGGAGATTGGTGAAATTCCGGATGATCTTTATGACCTGGATTTTAGGGCGATGACGCTAGGGGGCAATATTGTGAGTGCCAATGTTATTTTTGATACTGGTGCTTCCCATCATTTCTCTGGCTCCCGTTCTCTTCTCCATAATTTCCGTCATCTTTCTAAACCTTTACCGCTCTCGGTAGCTACCACCGCCGACCAATCCTATATTACCGGAATGGGGAACCTAAAGTTCAAAGGCCCCAATGGCCTTATCATCGTCATTAAGGGGGTACTTTTCTGTGAGCAAGCCAGGTCCAACTTAATCTCAATGGCTGCGCTCCGGAAATCTAAAGCTTCTGTTCTGTATGACAATGACAGGGATGCGTTCGAGATTTTTAACGGTGCCGGGGATCATGCCTTCAGCTGCCTACTGGACAAGTCCAAGAATCAATGGTGCTTATCATATCCTTTCTTGCGCAGCGATGGAAATGAACCACGTGGAGATGTTTCTGTTTTTGTTTCTTCTGCCAATTTTTCTTCTGATACCAATGATGCAGAACCGGCTCTATCATCAAGCATCCCGTCTTTTGATTTCCCCGTCTCTTCCTGTCCTTCTGTCATTCTTCCTTCTTCTACCAATAAGCCTGAAATGAATGCCGCTAAAGCCAAATTTAACAATGAAGAGTTTTTTAAAGAGCCAGTTGCCAAATTTGAAAACTTTCAGTGGAAGCCAGAATCACTTTCCAAAGATGAAAAGCAGCTTTTGTTTTGGCATCGGGTTTTTGGACATGCAGGACTTCGCACTCTACGAAAACTTATCAAGGAAGGCTTAGGTGAAGGACTTCCGAAATCATTACCTCATGGGTCCATCCACTGTCTGGTTTGCGCCATTAGTAAAAGCACAGCCATAAATACGCTAAGCTCTACTAAGCGGGAAATCAAACGCATGGAAATTTTGGCCGTGGATCTTATTGGACCTTTCGAGGTAGAAGCGATAGATGGCAGCAAATATCTGCTAACGCTTAGAGATGCAGCATCAGGCTACTGTTTTGTCAAGCCAATCAAGGCAAAATCCGACTCAAACAAAGTGATTATGGACACAATTACGCGGCTGGAAAGGATAACGGGAAATCGGGTCAAACTCCTGCGGAGCGACAATGGTGGGGAATTCATCAACAAAGCACTTGGGGATTTTCTCACGACGAGAGGGATTGGCACAGAACAAGCGCTGCCCTATCACCATTATCAAAATGGAATGATTGAACGTTTCAAGTTTCAACCAAACAATTCAGGCCATGGGCAGAACTGTTCTTATTGACAGCTCCCTCCCAAAGACGTTCTGGTGTTATGCTTTCCAATGGGCTGGCCACATTCTAAACCGACTCCCTAACAAAGCGAGTGGGAAGGTAACTCCGTATGAAGCTCTTTTTCAAATAAAACCTCACTTTGACCGTTTCCGAGCTTTTGGAAGTTATGCTTATGTTCATATCCCAGTTGAGAACCGTCTGAAATTAGATACTAGAGCGTTGCAAGGCCAGGTCGTAGCACATTTGGAGACGAGCAAGGGATGGATGTTCTGGATCCCCGCAGAACAACGTTTTGTCAACTCCGCACTGGTTCGCTTTGTCGACAACGAACACAGCCATTTCACTAAGGTTGGGAAACTTGGTGATGATTTGGACAACAACTCGGCTGTACCCGCTGAACCAGAAAGTCACATCGACCCGTCTCTCAGTGTGGACGCGAAGAAACTGAGTGTGGACTTTGTCATGAACATGATGCAGCTTGGGGAATTCTCTAGGGAAATTGAATTCCATGACCAAGAACTGATAGTTGACAAGATTCTTGAGCTTTGCCATTTTTATGCCATCACAGTACCCAAAACTTTCAAGCAGGCGATGAAATCACCGGAAAAAGACGCTTGGTCAAAGGCAATAGCGGTCGAACTGAACAACTTGGAGCAAATGAGGGTGTGGCTTGTCCGCCTGATGCCAACGGACAAGAAGGCACTGAATGGGCGCTGGGTGTTTGCAACCAAACCCGATATTGATGGTTCCGGGATCCAATTCAAAGCGCGTTTTGTGGCGAAGGGGTTTACCCAGGTCTCGGGTGTCGATTTCAATGAGACTTTTGACCCAACAGCTACTTTTGTGGCCCTGCGTGTTCTGCTTATTATTGCAGCTGCTAACAAATGGCCAGTTCATAGTTTTGATTTTGTTGCAGCTTACTTGAATTCACCAATCGATGAGGAAGTTTGGGTCAAACCACCGGAAGGACTAGAGGTACCGGCAGGTCAAGGACTGTTACTTCAGAAGGCACTGTATGGGACGCGTCAAGCTGCGCGGTGCTGGTGGCTCCACCTGAGGGAAGTCCTCAATAAACTCGACTACGTTCCTTCCCAATAAAACAATAGCCTTTACATTCTACGACATCCTCAAGAACACGGTGTCATATGGCTCCATGTGGACGACGGTGTAGTCACAGCTTCAAATGAATCTCTTCTGAAAAAGCTGGAAAGCGATCTGAAGGACATCTTGAAAATCAAATGGTCCTCTTCCCTCGACTCAATTGTTGGACTGAATGTGGTAAGGACAGATAGTGGATTTCAACTTTATCAGAAGGATTTAATTGATAGTATCTTGGAATCAGAATGGGATGGGGTATTGTTGGCAAAGACCCCACTGCCGGCTAATTATAACGCTTTGACTGACCCGGGAGGAGACCCTTCCATGACCGGAAAATATCTGTCCGTTATAGGTTCTCTAAGTTATTTGGCGGTAGGAACTCGACCCGACATCTGCTATGCCGTGAATCTTCTGGCTAGGTTTGCAGCAAAACCAGGGGAAATCCATTGGAAGGGAGTACGACACCTAATCAACTACCTAGCTGGTACAAGGAATCTTCAACTGTCACTTTTCCCCAAGGTCGACAGCAGGCCCCTGAAAACATACTGCCATGCCTCGTGGGGAGGAGAATTCTCGAGGTCGGCATATGGAGTTTTCATGACAGTTTTCAACTGCCCTGTTCTTTGGGTGGCACGTAGGCAACAATCCGTTGCATCTTCGACATGTCATGCTGAATACATGGCTTTAGGTGTGGCAACAAGACAAACACTTTGGGTGCGACATCTTATCAAAGATATTCTGAAACTTGATTTTGTAGGTCACTTGCACTTCGACAATCAATCAACTGTACGTGTGGCCATGGATGATGCTTCGAATAAGCGGACACGGCACTCAGATAGAGACTTCTACATCACCAATGAGGCCCTTTTCCAGAAGAAGACAACGCTGTGGTAGCTGAATGTGTAAAAATTCAAAGTTTTTTATTATTCTTTTTTATCCCTCTTTTTTCCTCTACATACACTCACAAATCACTCAATATGGCTCAAGAAATGGATTCTACACTCAATTCTACCCTTGGTCACCACTGGAGGTGTCACTGGAACTCAACTGGATTGGAAGCTACACCCTCTGGACTCTCACAACACTCACTTACACACCTCAACAACCTGTCAACACTCAATCACCACCAACACATCAACAATTACATATCTCACACTATACATATGCACATTGCAGGACAACTAAACTCTCTCACCAGCATAGTACATAAGTATACACACCACTCCACCATCTTCTGACATATTGACACATGCAGTGTTGGACTGGAACCACTCGGGATTTACAAGTGACATCATGCAGGTTGTCATGTCATTTTTTATTCTTCCTTGCAGCTGTCAGACTATCTCACACCACTCATGTAATCTTCATCACTCCATCTTAGTTTCAGACTAGTACAATCACCTCATGTAGCATGCTACACCAGCATAAAACCCTCATGTAGACTTCTAGTTCAAGCTAAAATGACTCTTATGACATCATGTAGGTTGCTCAACCAGCCAAAATACCTCATGTACATGTCCTGACTAGCTAAATCCCCTCATTGTAAAGCTCTGGCCAGCTAAAATCTCTCATTCCCTTGTTCCCCTGAAGCTAAAATCCCTTACCTTTGTGTATTTAAGAGGCTCTCCTCCCAGTTGTTTTTCCCCTCAGTTTAGTACCCACAAATCACATACCCCCTACCATTACATACCATACCATTAACATTACATACTGTAACAACCTTTACAACACCCTATAACAACCCTTACACTTGTAATACACACTAAACTCACTCTCATACTCTCAAAACCTCTTTTCTCATACAATTATATTGCGATCAAACAACTTATTCTCGAACCAACCACCCCTATCACTTGATTAAAACTTGCCAAGCTGAGCTTGGTGGGTCTTGTTATCTGATAGTACAGAAGGGCAGAGCTTGCAACTCCACCATACCCTTCAACATTCAGCAAAAGGGTTCTCACAACCACTTTTGAGTCTTACAACGCTAACGTGGGTTGGAACCAAGGAGCAATTGGCGGATGTATTTACCAAATGCTTATCACCAGATCTTTTCAATGATCTGCGTGAGAAGATTATGGGATGCCTATAATTTTTTTTCTTTCCTCACTATTATTGTTGGTTCTTATGTTCTCTTACGTTGTCTCTCCAAACATACTTGGCTCCTGTTTTTCTTGGTTTCGTATTTTGGTTTCTTATATTTTGTTTTTCTGCCTTAAGATGTTGTATGTAGTAGGGCGTCTGCGGCGAGAGGGGGGGTGTTGTAACATGGCTGTTACATGACTCTGACTCGCCGCAGCACGGCACCTGAGAGGACTCGGGAGATACCTCTGAGGGGGACTCTGAGTCTATTCTGCACGGAACTACACACTTTCACAGTCTGAGTTCCAATAAAGACCTCACCGGGGTCAATGATGATGTGAAGAAGTACTACATGCTTCAAAGAAAAAAAAATGTTAGCTTGACTTGAAGAAGAAATGGCGGCTCACGGCGAAAGGGGCTGTATCGGTTAAAACCCCCCGCGATAAGGTCGCCCCAAGGCGACCGATATAACATTGGTCTCCTTGACCGATTTTATATCGGCCAGGCCCACCGATACATTTTTCCTTTGTTCTAATGTATTGGTGGGCCCGACCGATATAAAATTGGTCAATCAGACCGATCTTATATTGGTCGCCTCCAGGCGACCTTATCGCGGGGGGTTGTAACAGATACAACCCCTTTCAAAGTGGCTCCAAATTCCAAATCAACTCCGGCTGCAGCATTAGCTTCGGGATCTACTCCTGCTTCAGCTCCGGTCTTGGAATCAACTTCTACGCCGGCTGGAAATTGATTTTTTTTCAATCTTCCTCATGTTTTATACTCTACTGAAGGATGCCCAACTCCTATTTTTCCTCTTCTGTCTCTTGCTAATTGTCTAAATGTCTGGTATCTCATCAAATGATAAAACCATGTCATCAAAAAAAGCTTCCATGCAATGAAAAGAATGTTATAGTCATACTCTGTCTGACTGACTTATGTTCTTAAAATTTCATTTTATTTTGATTCTTATTATTTATTTTATTTTATTTTGATTCTTATTTTTATTTTTATTTTTTTTCATTGCTTGCATGCAATGAGAAGATGACCTGAGTCAAACTCAGTCTGACCAACATCTGTTCTCACAAAAAGAAATGATTTCATTACTTATAAATATAGGAAATGATAGGATTATATTTCATTCATATCGATTTCTTTTCCTGTGCGCTTCCACAGATGGATGGGCTATCAAATCATTTCACAGAGCAAAGTGCAAGTCAGGATTGCGGATCCTTTGTGTATTTTGGATGAATGAAGAGAAATCATGGCAACGTTGGGGAATGGGATTGATGAGATTGGAAACTGATTCAAGATCAAAAGCTGATTTGTGTCCTCCGGGTGTGTTTGAGTTGTAGATGTGATCGATGTTTAAGTTTCTCTCATCCTCCACAATCATATTGTGGAAGATAACACAGGTCTTCATGACCAATAGTCTGGGTAGATGCCATCAGCAAGGTAGTATCCTTGGTGATAACTTGTCAGACACTGAGGCTGTAGCCCATGTGTCTACAACCTATACTTAACCAACAAACACATGTACTTTAGTTTATTGGTTAAGGACTGTGTTATGACTTTGCCTCACCAACACACTTGGGTTCAAATCCCAATTATGTAATCTTATATTTTTATTATTTTATTTTTATACTTTTATGCTTTAAGTAATTCCACGGAATTACTTAAGTATTCATTTCTGTATTAATATTCATATTTTATATACATACAATTTGAAATCTTAATCATCTCTCTATACTCTGTAATTAGAGAGATGACATCATTCTTTCTCCTTTGAGCTTGAATGACATCATTCCCTCCACTTTTGGTTTAAAACTTAATTTAAATGCATATTTTGATCATTTATGATTATATACATAAATGATCCTCTGCAGGCCTCACCGGTCTCACAGGCAGGCTGACCCCTGCCTTTGTAATACTTAAGGGGGAGGTCTTCTTCCCAAGAATCCTCCCCCCAGAGATTACCATACAAACCCGTCCACCTTACAATACAAACTGTGAGTGGGGTTTACAATCTACTATATAACCTTCTAAAAAACCTTCCCCTTTATCTTCTATTCCGTACCAACTTTCCTAGACTACTGTAAAGTCACTACAGTAGCCTAGAAGAGAGACTACTCAGCTCTAAGCCCGGCGACGCAACGCTCATACCGCGTACGTCCCCTTACTAAGGGTGCTTAACCCCTCCGCTTACTAGCGTCGAGGTGAGGTTCTAGTTCTACTGGCTTTCACGCGAAAGTTATAGTAAGACCCTTGCCACCCCATCAACGCCTAGTCACTCTAGAGACCGGCGCTGACATAACTAGTGCCATTGACCTTGTTATATTTGCATGCAGGAGCTACTCTGTTCATTAGATCGGTGAAAACAGGCAAAGAGTCCAGGATGTTTATGTCGTAGTGGGACCCTGGCATGCCAAATCCATAAATTGTATGAT